CTGCTAGGGAAGTGCTTTTACAATATTATCCTTGATAATATTTAACATGGAAAATGGCAATGGCGACCTTCAAGGCCAAGGCACATGAGGTATGTGTCATCATTTTGGGGTTGTTGCTTAAAACTAATGCCTTTATGTGACACAAGCTGCAAAAATGCTCCCAAAAAGTAGAGAATAACATTAGGTGGTGTAGATCCCCATAACATTCCAATGTGATATACAGCTTTCAAGAGGAAGGGCAAATGGACATTTCATTACTTGCTGAAGTATTTTCAGAATTAATAATTTATTTTCGATTTTTTTAATTGGTGCGTAGATTTATTTTTTTTAAGCATATTTTTAGTTTTCAAGCATTAATCTGGAGATGTTATACTTTAATGTAGCTGACTATTATATTAGCGTATGTATAAATTAAAAGAGATTGCAATTATATTATATTGATTATTCATTGGTTTGAAAGGTCGTAGTAACATTGTTTACTTGATTTCATCGATCATAAAGAAGTTAAAAGGAGTGTTTCGTAAATAGCAGCTAGCTAATAGTTGTTAGCTGATTGCGTTAGTGAGTTTGACTAGTTGATAGTATTAGTTGATTGGAAAATGATATTAGTAAATTAGCTGTTAGCTTATAACTAGTTACATGCAAAATGACTTTTTCAAAAAGCTTATCAAAAAAGCTGTTTTGAGTAGCTTTTTGAATTTTAACGTTTTGGAACAATAAGTCGTTACAGAAAGCTAATTAATCAAACACTTATATTGATTGTTTAACCAAGTCAAACGGTTAATAGTGATCAAATGAGTTAAAATTGACTGATAAGCTAATTATGTTATGAGGCGAAATTCTTTCATGAACATTCAAGATACTTTTTTTACATTTAAGTAGAAAGCTATTGATTTTTCTTTTTAAGTAGTCTAGGTTACATATTACAACATTGTGAATGAAATAATTTCAAAATATACATAGGGAAAAAGACACCCTTTTCCCTCTGAATTATATATATGGTTATAGCATTTTTGACTTTTTGCCTCTTGAATTGTTTATGTATCCACATTAGTCTCCTCAATTATTTTAAAGGTGATGGTTCCCCCCCCCCCCCCCCCCCCCCCCCCCCCCCTTTTTATTAAATATATATTTTTATCCTTAAAAATAAGTATTTCATTTATTTTTAATTTGTTTACCAACAAATTATTGATTATATGTGGGAGTCGATACAAAAAAAAAAAAGAGCAAACACTATTTGTAAATATTATAATTATAATTTTAAACTAATGCTAGTAACAAAATTAAGACTTAAACACAAATAATTTATTAATGCTAATTAATAATAACATTAATATTAATGTTACTAGATATGACCGTGGTTTCGATTTCGAGCCGACGGTTCACGATTTTAGAAAATGATAAACTGGCAATTCCAATTTGAATCACCGGTTCGAACTTAAAAAAAAAAAAAGAAAAATTCTATTTTATATTTTTCAAATAATCTAAATTAAACAAATTTTTAATAATTCTTTTCCAGTTCAAAACAGAGGCATATCTGATTTCTAATTTTAATAAACTAAAACCAAAATCTTTTGAGTTGCGGTTTTGAACCGTAACCGGAATCGTCCCTACAGTTTCGATTTCAATTCGGTTGATATAGTGTCCAGTTTGGTTCTAACCGAATCATGGACATCTTTAAATATTACTAGTATTAGTTTAAAATTATAATTATAATATTTACAAATGGTGTCTGCTCTTTTTGCATTTATTCTGATTTCCACATATAAGCAATAATTTGTTGAAAAACAAAAATAAATGAAATACTTATTTTAAGGTAAAAATGTCCATCTAATATAAAATGTGGAAAAATCACAACTTTTAAAATAACTGAGAGAACTGATTTTGATACATGAATAATTCAAGGGACAAAAGCGCTTTAACTCTATAGTTCAGGGAAAAAAATGTCATTTTTCATATATATACCAAGAAAATTAAAAAAAAAAAAAACAAAAAAAAAAAGGGTTACCTTTCTTTTTCTAATGGACCATTTTCTTTTTAATGGTTGGGAAATGTTGCTTTTTGTTTTCCTTCTGGAATGGGAAATTCGAGATCATTAAAAGTAATTTTCATTGAATTTGATTGAGATTCGTTTTCCCTCATTTTGTATGTCTGATTCGATTGATGAGACTTGACTGAAATTATTTTTAATATAAATTTTCTAATATTAAGTTTAGTATTAGTATACAAAATTTATATATTTAGAAACTACACATAAAGTACTATTAAACACACAAAAAAAATTAAAAATAAAAAAATATTAAAAAAAATAAACAAAGAATAAAGAGTTGATTTGACCAACGAATAGTAAATATGACAGATAAAATGAGATAGAGAAAATATTATTGTAAATGACAAATTAATATTTATCGAGTAATAGAAAAATATCAGTAAATCAATATCAATAAACGTAAAGTAAAGTGGACACATCAAATTAACTTTTTAATAACGGTTAACTATTCTGTTATGGAATTATTGCTATAGTAAGTGTTGAAAATGTTTGGTACCTAACCTTTCTTACCAATAACATAAGACAATTAATATTTATCGAGTGGAAATTTAAGACAACGTAAGAAGAGTTATCCAAATTTGTGCTGGAAATAAGATGCATATATGTTACACCCATCAATTTAATTTGTTTAAACATCAAATCAACTACTTAAATCACCATTGTCTTGTAGTATAACAGCTAGTTTAGTGAACTTTAAAAACTTCCAACTTCTAATAATTTCCACCCAGAAAGACTATGCTGAGATAAGGCTCAAGCACCCCCCCACCCCCACTCTCACCCACCCTCCACCCCACCCACCCACCCACCCACCCACAGGATACAAATGGGTTAATCAAAATAGGCAAACATTAAACTAAGGAACCCAACTTTTGTACAATGAGAGAGGGCCAACAAATGAAATGGTGGCTTGACACATCAAAGTAGAGACTGGGACCCATCCTCTTGTTGATATATCCAAGGTTGATCTGATCATCCTTCTAACAAATTCTGACACATCTGACATAAAAAATCTTGATTGTAGACAAGTTTGGAACCTTCTCCAATTACTGAATCCGGCCCATAGATGAATAAATTATCAAAATGATTACTGAATTATCAAAATGATTACTGAATTATACTTTGTACAAATTTTATTCTTGTCTTAGACTCTTTCAGTCGAGTCTGTCGCATAAAGTCTTTCTAATGCAATTTAATTTCTTGTGTGGTGCACATGTTATTACGCATGAACAAGATTAATTCAGTACACACCCTCCGCTAGTGACTATGTGTTTCTTTCATCACAAAAAAAAAAGTCAAAGATTTATTAGACAAAATTGAAAGTTGAGAACTAATGTGAAAGCTGATCTTATCCATCTATTTGAATAGATCAACGGTTGAGAGTTGCTGAAAAATAAAGAAAAAAAAATGTGAAGTCAGTTTTATAAATATTACAAACTTAAAACTTTATAATAATAATAAAACTGATCCTATATTTTTTTTTTTTTTACTAAACCCTCAACTATTTATATACTTGATGAATGATTGTGATCCGTCTTTACTTTTTATAAAACAATCATGTTTCAGTTTAAATTCTCCCTATATATGCATATATAAAGTGGGTGCCTTTGTTTCAGTGCTGCAAAGTTTAACTTGACTTGCAAAACTCCCTTGTCCCAAGTATTGGCCCATTGATAATTGTCCCCTCCTTTTATTTATCTAATCTAAACTTTTTCAATTTTCTTTCATGGTAAATAAATAATATATGGAGATTAGCTCTTCAAGCATCATAACTCATCTCCACTTTTTGTTACAGTACGTCATAGCCGTTTTCAACTTGAAAAGAGGACTATTTCAAAATATTCTTCATTCATAAAGTATTTAAATACAATATTTATTAGTCTAGTTATACTTCATGCCAAATAAACTATAAACCCAAAGTTTTTATTTACTAACGTACAAAAGTTTCATATTTATATAATCTTTTTTCAGGACGAGAGGGATGAGGGCTGAATTAGAGTTTTTAATTTCAACTCTATAGTCAATTCTTAATTATTTTAAATGATTTAATAATTTCTAAATAACGGTAGAATAAGTATCATTTTATGATGAAAACTTTTCAAAACTAGTCATCTAATTATCTAAATGGTGTAGCAATTGTTTAAAGTGGAATTCTTTGTCTAGATCCCTTGCCTCTAGAAATGCCAAATAGTTACTAGTTAAATGAATAATGGATATAAAGATTAGATAGAGACATACTATTAAGAGAAAATGACCATTATCAACATAAGATAAGAGCTGCCTAAGATGAATTTAAATTATTTTTCTTATATGGATTATGACATTCCTTAATTAGGACAACACACCTAAAAGTGGTGGGGACCCTAAATAGCAAAAGGCAAACCTTTACGCCAATTGGGAATTGAAACTTGTAACGATTTGAAAAAGAATTAAAATGCTAACATAAAAATTAATTAAAGTTTATTTGTTTAGTTTTTTGAGTACTACTAACTCTGTTATAATGTATTAATATAATATCTGTTCATAACTATTTTCTCAATTTACTAAAACACAAAAATTCAAAGTCACGATCAAACTTTTTTGATGGGTAAAAAGGGAAAGGGAATAAGAATCGAAAATTATAGTAATAAAAAAATTACTCCATTGAAGAAGTGGACGCTAATTAAAAAGAGAATCATATTCCCTTTATCAAGATGAGAACGCAAGGATAGACCACAAACTGGAAAATTATTATAAAAAAAAATAAAATAAAAATACAAGTAACATAAAAGGGTTGTTAATTGGAATTATTACACAGAGAAATTAAGAAAATGGTGGAACCAACCTAATGGAGATTAGAAACTTTCCAGAAACTAATTAATTTCCTGTTTTAATTTCTTCATAGTACCACGTACGAGGATCGACGAAGAAGATCTTTATCTTCATGGAAGCCTTAATTCTCGCCGGAGATTCTTCACCAGAGAGCGAGAAACCCCAAGAAAGCTCCGCCGATCAAGAGGGAAAATCCCGCCTTACCGGCGCCGGAAAAGTACTGGTCAACCGGGTATAAGTTGCCCGGAGGGCCGTTGAAGTATATGTATTGGTTGTTGGGAGTGGTGGGGCCGCTGGGCACGTAGCCGCCGCCGGGCGGGGGAGGGCAGTAGCTGCTGGGCGGCTTCTTCGGCGGAGGCGGGGAGGGTGGCGGCAGAGCCGGCGGTGGTGGAGATGGCGGCGGCGGCGATGGGATGGGGCACGGGTTATTGCAAGGACAGCCGCCGCACTTGTTCTCGGTGGTGTCGTCGAGTTTTCTTGGGTTCAATCCATCGGTGGTGGGGATGGCCAGAGCCACCACCGCGAGAAGGAAAAAGACGGCGAGCCGTGGCATCGCGAGGGCGGTGACCGGAGATCGGATCTCTCGCCGGAGTTGGCTAGGGAGTGGTTATATAAGTGGGTTGTGTAGCTTAGAAGGAAGGTATGGTGATGGGTATATAGTAGGTGGAAGGGTGACTTAATGGCTTGGAGAGTCAATAAAAATGAGTGAAGAAGAAACAAGTCCCTTTGGAGGGGGGTTCGTTTACGTTTCCTCTAGGTGCATGATGGTTGTGAAATGACTATTTTGGGTCTCACCTTGGGCAACTATGAGAAATGTGAAACTACAAATTTCTAAACTTCTTACACATGGCTTTCCCACACAATGACCCATTCTTGCTTATATTTTGCCCTTAAAAGTCACAATTCTCTCGCCCAGAGAGTCCACACCCTGATGTATGTAACAGAATGACGAAAAGGTAAACCATGTTAATTCAATGACATCTTAAATGAAAGGACTATAGTGTCGCATGCCCACAAACCTTCTTGCTTTTATTACATCTAAAGATGAGATACATGTACAAAGACTGATATGAACTTAATCAGATTAGTCAATACATTTTTCTTTTCAGCTTGATATATATGAGTCAACTATGTTAACTTCAAATGCTTATCCATGATACATACTCTAATCTTTTTATTTACAACATGTCATCATGTCTTATTCATGACATATTTTCAATTTGATAAAAAAAAAAATAACGAGAAAAGTATAATATTTATCAGCACAAAACATAATTCGCATTCATAAAAGCAATTATAACACATACATACACACATGTGAGTATGTATGTACACACCAAGTGTGAAATGATGCATTATATTCTATAGCATGTTGCATGTATCATGTATGTATGAATAAACCAAGTGTGAATGGTGCACTATATTCAATTCTAGCATGTTGTATGCATGCATGTATGTATAGACCAAGTGTGAAATGATGCATTATATATATTCTTGCATGTATGAAATTTGCTTAATGTCCAAGCCAATAATCAAAGTATCTAGCTACCTCCATGTGTATGGTCGGCAATGTCCCCACCATTATTTAAGCTCGCTTTAATATATTATAGGTTTGCTTAGCTTAATTGTGTCAATGTATGTCTATAGTTGTGCTAATTATTAATTATATATATATGATCGACTAGCTAGATTACTAGCATTCATGTCCAAAATTTTTAAATGCTACCTTTAAGTTTCCTCTAGAAAAAAAAAATATTCTCATGAAAAGGAAGTTGCATGTGCATTACGTCCTTAATTTCAATGATTGTGCCATTACCTAACTGAATGATAATCTAGCTAGCTTAGTTAATAAACTTGGTCATGAAAAAGATTAGGGCAATCTTAATAATTGGAGAAGAATATAATGAAGAATATTTTTATTAAATATTGTTTATTGTAATTTAGTTAGATAAAATATATTTTTGAAATAATGCTCAAATAAGTTACTGAACTACACTACACGGAAATTTAACTCAGCCATTGTTTAATAAACTTGTTCATGAAAAAGATTAGGGCAATCCTAATAATTGGAGAAGAATTTAATAAAAAAATATTTTTATTGTAATTTAGTTAGATAAAATATATTTTTGGAATAATACTCAAATATGACACAGAATTGCACGCGAAAGTCTAATTGTATTGAATTATTCAATTAAAAAAATTTCAATTGAGTCATTGAACCATCCAAAAACATATAATTAACCAGCATTGACATATTCTACCGATATTGGCAAATGTGGCAACCTTTATTAAAAAATATTTTTAAAAAAATTACCTCTCTCCATTCAGCTCTGGTCGAACACGAAGATTTTTTTTTTTTTTTCTCCAAGCTGCTGGAGATGAAGAAATATTTTTTGTCTCTAACTAGAGATCAAGAAATGTTCATTTTCTCCCGCCCTGAGGTGAAGAAGGTTTCTTCATCTCTGATCCGTGAAGAAGATGAGACATGTTTTTATTTTTTAATTTTATTTAATTTTAAAAAGTATTAAAATAAAAAATAATAATTTTATTATAGAGGTAATTGCCCATTCAACAAGTTATTTTTAGTTTTTTAGTACCACCGACTCTATTACAATTAATTTGAGTCAGATGACACAATTGCATTTTTGTCTAGGATTTGGTGGCTTATTTTAACATTGTTCCTATATTTTTATGATGACACTATTGGATGCTATTTATTTATTTATTTTTGTATATTATGGAAAAAATTACAAAAAAGACAATAATTCTAGACAAATATGGATTAGATATTGCTCACAATATCTATAAAAATAAACTACAGCATATCTTTAGAGGACGATAAAAAGAATAAAAAATATAAAAGACCAAAATAAGAGGAATCATGATAATCGTAATTTTTTTGAAAGCAACCAATAGTGGTAGATTAAAGATAAATCAAAATAAAGTCGGGAGGGATAGAATCCCAATACAACGCAGTAGACTGAGTAAAAGCTGTAAAAGCTAAAGTATGATATATTAAATTAGGGGACGAATTTTAATAAACAATGCAAGAAAGTAGACATAAGAGATCTGCAACCATCAATCGCATATACGATGTATGAGCGAAAAGGACCTGCGTTCGTAACCAAATAGTGTTGAAGACTCAAACAATTCGTGTGAAGCTCTATCGTCCGCTCTCCACGATCTTTCAGCCAAGACAAAGCTTCCTTGCACACGAGTGCTTCGGCCATCAACAGAGATGAGCAATCTGGGAGCTTGCTGTTGAAGGCCGCCACAAATCTTCCTTCCTCGTCGAAGAGCACGACCCCAGCCGTGGCATTGCTGGTGGCGGCCTGGAATCCGGCGTCGACGTAGCACCTTCGTATCGGGGCAGTGGACTGGTCCGAGGTTGGCTGCACCGTGGCTGGTTGTGTAGCGGTGACCGGGTGAACAAGGCGCCATGCGTTCAAAGCAGCGGCGATAGCCGCAAGCAACCTCTTCGGCGTTGGCAAGAAGGCCTTCCACACTGTACTGTTCCGTGCTTTCCATATGTAATATAGTAGTGCAGCTGTGGACATAAGCTGGTTAGTGTCAAGAATATTTGTAACTTCTTCAAACCAAACATGAAAAATATTTGTCAAAACATTGGGGATTGGAAGGTTGGAATCTCTCCAAATGTTGCTAGCAAAATGACACATAACCAAGGAGTGCATTGTTTCCTCATGATGGAGACCACACATGGCACAAATTGGATCAACCTCCACCCTCTTTATAAACAAATTCTTGGTAGTGGGGAGGATATCATTCAAAGCTCTCCATAGAAAGGTTTTCCATTTTTAAGGAGTTTTCAACTTCCACAATGTGAGTCATTTATCAAAAGACCCTTCATTATTAACATAATTTTCTGTAATAATTCTATAGTCACTTTTAACCGAGTAACAACCCTTGGGGTCCCCATACCAATACCAACTATCTTCATAATCCGGGCAAATGAGAATCTTCAAAATACGAGTAACATCACTTGGAAGAAATATGTCTGATAAAATAGAATGATCCCACGAACCAGTTTCCTTTTCAATCAAACCCGCTACGCTAGCGCTAGCCAACGGAGGGGCATTTCCGTTTGGATTGTCGGGTCTTGATCATCTAGTAACCAGGGGTGGCGTGGCCCCGAACAGCCGTTTGGATCATCTAGTAACCAGGGGTGGCCCCGAACAACCGTTTGGATCGTCAGGTCTTGATCATCTAGTAACCAGGGGTGGCCCCGAACAGCCGTTTGGATCGTCGGGTCTTGATCATCTAGTAACCAGGGGTGGCCTCGAACAGCCACTAAAGAATCAGGCAAGAACTCGTCAGGTCTTGATCATCTAGTAACCAGGGGTGGCCCCGAACAGCCGTTTGGATCGTCGGGTCTTGATCATCTAGTAACCAGGGGTGGCCTCGAACAGATTTAGTAACCAGGGGTGGCCCCGAACAGCTACTAAAGAATCAGGCAAGAACTCGTCGGGTCTTGATCATCTAGTAACCAGGGGTGGCCCCGAACAGCCGTTTGGATCGTCGGGTCTTGATCATCTAGTAACCAGGGGTGGCCCCGAACAGCCGTTTGGATCGTCGGGTCTTGATCATCTAGTAACCAGGGGTGGCCTCGAACAGCCACCGAACAGCTACTAAAGAATCAGGCAAGAACTCGTCGGGTCTTGATCATCTAGTAACCAGGGGTGGCCCCCAACAGCCGTTTGGATCGTCGGGTCTTGATCATCTAGTAACCAGGGGTGGCCTCGAACAGCCACTAAAGAATCAGGCAAGAACTCGTCGGGTCTTGATCATCTAGTAACGAGGGGTGGCTCTGAACAGCCGTTTGGATCGTCGGGTCTTGATCATCTAGTAACCATGGGTGGCCTCGAACAGCCACTAAAGAATCAGGCAAGAACTCGTCGGGTCTTGATCATCTAGTAACGAGGGGTGGCCCCGAATATCATCTAGTAACGAGGGGTGGCCTCGAACAGCCACGCCTGCTCCAACATAACCAAATTAACAAAGCACCACGCCTGCTTATCCAACATAACCAAATTAAACTAAGGCGGCTCAACCTACTGAAACACAAAAAATCAATAACATCTCTATTGAGGCTCGAACTTATACAACCTTTCAAATGGAAGTTCAATTCAAGTACCATTAGACTACATAGTCTTGGTATGATGATCTTAATTTAATTTGTACAAAAATTTATTTCTTTTGAAGTCAATGCACATATTCGCTTATTTGTGCATGAACGTGGATCACATATTCACATCCCCTGATTCCCTTCCCCCAAGCGCCACTCCAAAGTCTTGATTTTTTTATTTATTATTTAATTTTTAGGTGGGAAGAGAGGAATATAAACTGTTTAAAGGGAATATTTTCTGTCTAATTTTGTTTTTCTTTTCGTTTCTGATCAGATCAAGAAGAGGCTCAAGATATATAACTTTAATCTTTTTTTTTCTCTACAAAATACATAGTTTAGTAAAATATTAATTTTTGTTTGTGTAATATTTTTATTTAATTTTATTAATACATATATAATAATTTCTATTTTATGTAACATACCGAAATGACAACTTTTCAAATGTTAGGTTGTGATACTGTGGTCGTAATTATTCCAGACTTACTAGAGTTATACAATTTTTTATTTTATTTTTTTACATAAAATTGTATTTTAAAAATAAAATTTATCGGAAATAAATATAAATTTATAAATTTAAAAAGCTTGAATATATTTCGTAATTATCATACCAATCAAATGTTTCAACTTTTCAGTTTTCATTAAAAAAGAAAAAAAGGATACATGCAGTGTTGGCAGTCTGTTTGGGGCAGAGGGTATAATGGACAGCCCATAATTTGCATATATATAATATATAATAAGAACTTTCCACATAATACTCATTACTTAAATTGTTTATGAGTAGCATGAAAGAACTCATCTTTTGGTCTGCTTTACATACCGAACTATAAACATCAAGCACATGGTCTTTGAAGAACGTAGAAAATTATGGGCTACAAATCGTTTTCCGTTCACAATCACACCAAATATATCCGTTGACGACATGATAAACTTGGCTAGTTGATAGGGATAAGGCAACAACAACATTAATTTTATCACTTCAAATTCATTTAAGGTATTAAGTAAATTCTTATTTTGATAAAAACTTTCTAACTCAATGTTACTAGTTTTAATTTAAATTTTATTGTACTTTATAAATATTAAACTTTTATATATTGATTGACAATTAACTGATATATGAACTCAGTGAAAAAAGTTAATGTTTGCAAAAGAAAAGAGTCTATTTGATGTTGGGTGAAACTTGATCAGAAGTTACGATTAAAGCTATACTCAAAAGTGATGGAAACAGATGAAAGTGAGGATCATTGGTCGGTTGTATATGGCTGGTAGTGCAATGTTTGGTGGATGGTATCACACATACTTATCACTTGATAAATTTGGGATAAAGAATTCTTAACTAGTGGACAAAATATCAAACATCTCTTGAGTTTAGACGTCATGGAGACGAATCTCTAATATTTGGTTGTAATCTTGTTGTGCTTGATGTTTATATTGCAAATAAAAATGAAATCAGCCACAGACCTCGGATGAAATACTTTAAAATATTGAGATTCCTATAAATGAAAATTGATTTTTAAGACTGTATTTTACAACCATATTATATGACCAATCCCTACCTAAAGATATATAGGTAGTTGTTACCATCTTTTCTATTGTATATGGAAAGGAATATAATGTGGTTCAAATAAAGACCACAGGTTTTAAGAGTTGCAACAAGGCTACAATCACACAACTGGAAAGGACTATATGCCACACAACCATATGCATCACAGCTATACACCTAAATAGACATCTCAAGAATATAATGATACTAAGATAGATTTGTCTCAATCATTAACATTTTAATACTAAGACGAAATTTGTATAAAATGTCTAAAAATACTCTTAAGAAAAACGCTGCAGCAATTAAGATTCACACCAAATTAAAGTAATTTCAACTAAAAGCCTAAACTGATAGTTGGATTTTGAAACACTCCACCTTAACTAAAATCCTAAACTGATAGTTGGATTGCACATTAATGGTTATATGTGCACCAACCAAAACTTCTTTCATTTCTGCAAGATTAAACTACAAGAAGAACCAAAGTGGAAGGAAAACTAAGGTATATACAGGCAGGAGGATGAAGAAAGGCATTACAAAATCACTTCACTTTTACTCCTAACTGCATTATTTCTATCTATGATCTATCTGCAGAAAGGATTTACTCCGCGCATCTCCATATATGAGAAGTCTAAGAAGGGACTGCATTCCGCCATGCTTGAATCCAAGGAAGCTCCCTTCGAAGTTGCAGAACTTTCACTGAAACTCATGGCCCCCGAAAACCACTGAGAAGACGACTGAGATAGATTTGGCCATTCTGGAACCTCGAATCCCTTGGCCATATCCCAAAACATGCTTTGAAGCTCCTCCATGCTGTAACTCTTACCCTGAACCCACAGTTTTCATCACAATTTAGTCTATAAAACCAAATGTTCTTTAAACAGAAGATTGTAACTGGAAATTTGCTTCCAATTCTTACCTCTCTCCTCACATCCTTCATGAGAGACACCATTTCCTGTACAAAATCCGCGAACCCCTCAACCTCGTCGTTATCTTCGCGAGAATCATACAACCCAGCATCGTACAGAGTCCTCCTCCTCGGATCAGACAAAACTGTTTAACACCCAACACGTTAATTACCATTAATCACTACTACTCAAATCAAGAAACTAAAAAGCTCCCCCCTTTCCCGTTAATTACCGGAATACGCTTCTTGAATCTGCTGAAACCTCCGCTTGGCTTCCCCTAACAACGACGGGTTCTTCGTCCACTTATCCGGGTGCCATTGCATAGCGAGTTTTCTGTATGCCCGCCGCAGTTCCTCGTCGGAAGACCCTTCGCTCACGCCAAGAATGGCGTAATACGAAGGGGACGACCCCCCACCGGACTCCATTTTCGAAAAACTCTCTCTGTTCAAAATTACGACACAGTACAGTGGGATTATGTGACAGGTATCAAAGATAAGATGGGTGGAACTTGAAAGGGTATATATGATGACAGGAGGCGGTTGAGCGGCGGTGGGGCGTTGCATACAAAATATCTAAGGCCTAAGGGGACCGTAAAAATGAAAGCTTTGAGGTCGGGAAAGTTCCAGAAGGAGAAGAAATGAGAGGTTTGACGCCACTTTTGGTCCACGTAGTTCTGGTGAAATGGTGAATGGTGGGAGATATTTTTTTGGGTTTGGGAGATATTTTGAATGGAATTTTCTGGGGCTTCAAGAACAGAGGTGAGGAATCCTTTCACTAAAAACCATGGTGGGCTGCCCGGTTCAGTATTCACTGAGTGGGCCCCGCAACCATGAATAGATTTTTGTGCAAATTTCGTATTGCGATTTTATGTTGCAATTGTGAACTATAGATCCCGGTTTATGTGTTATATTTTTTTTTTTTAATTTTGTGTTATAAAATTATGTATTTTATAAGTATAAATATTTTACTTGAAATAAATTAGTAATTGTGTCTTATGTTATGAATTTTTGTAGTTTGTGTTTTGAAATTTTGTGCTTATGAATACAAATTATGTAACTATATCAGATTAGAAAAATAAATAAATATATAACATGTGTATGTGTCTTGTGTTATGAAATTATGTACCTTTAGAGTATGAATTTTGTATCTCGTGTTTTCAATCCAGTTGTGATTTTTTGTTATGAAATTCTGTACCTTATGAGTATGGACGACATTTATATCATAGACTAGGGTTTACATAGCATTATGGACTCTGGACCGAAATGACAATGTACAAAATTCATACTCGCAAGGTACAGAATTTCATAACATAAGACACAAAAAAGCACAATACAAGATACATACACATGTTATATATTTACTTATTTTTCAAATCTGATTTAGGTACATAATTTGTGTTCATAAGCACTGAATTTCACAAGACACAGAAAGTAATAACATAAGACACAATTATTAATTTGTTTCATGTACAGAATTCTTACTTTTAAAAGTACATAATTTCATAACACGACACAAAATCTCACAACATAAGACACATACACATGCACTAGGGTCCACGGTGCACTGTGAACCCTGGTCCATGGCATAAGGATTCAATCATTATATTGTGCACCAGGGCGCACAATGCCCTAGCCCAAAACAACGTCGTTTTCATAAGTTGTGTGGGGAGTTGACGTGACGGACACCGTTCCGTCCATCCAACTCCGTTACAGTTTTTTTTTTTTTTTTTTTTTTTTTTTTTTTTAACACTTGTGTTTTATGTGTATTTTGTTAAGAGTTTATGTGTATTATGTTAAGAGTTTATGTGTATTATCTATTATGTTGGATTATGTATTATGTTAGGAGTTTATGTGTATTCTACTATACAATTCTGTACATCCGAAACAAAGATTTTTTTTTAGAAGTTAACGGCAGAAACAGGAAACGACGTCATTTTGGCCGGACGCACAATGCATTGTGTGCCCTGGTGCACGATATACTTTGCCATAAGGATTACCATGGACTATACCGTGTAAGATTGATCATTGATTCACGACTTTCAAACATTGCAATTTTAGTCCACGACTATTATTTTTTTGGCAAAAATATCCTTCCGGCCACTTTTCCGTCAAAATTTCACCGGAATAAAATTTCTTCATTTTTAAAAGGACTAAATTTGAGATTTCGCTTAATAAGCTTGCAAGACCTACCGCTCCTCTGATTCACCAGTAGTTTATACTTCAACAGAACTTCCATATTCTGCAAGTATACATAAACTGAATCAAAGTCTAATTTTCATTCCAATTATTAGCTGAAAATAATCTACTAAACAGTGCTATATAAACATTAGTCAATGACAAGTCAATCTCAAAAAGCTTGGATCTTGGAATGCTAACAAGGCTTGCAAACAGTCACACATGACCCACCTGAATGGCAAGTTCTCTAGAGAGCCTGAGGGGCAGCGAGCTTCGGATCAACTCGGCTCAACATTCCAAGCACAAAGCACGTCGTCTTACCGGATCCATTGTGAGCCTGGGCAATAAGATTCTTGTTCGGCTGAGTGATCAGTATCATAGCCAGACTGATTTCCTGAATTTTACTCGGCCTCTCAAACTTCATCTCTACATATAATCCTTTCAGCAACTCCGGATTTTATTCTATTTGTTGTTTAGCACTGGTGAATCAGAGGAGCGGTAGGTCTTGCAAGCTTATTAAGCGAAATCTCAAATTTAGCCCTCTTAAAAATGAAGGAATTTTTTTCCGGTGGAATTTTGACGGAAAAGTGACCGGAAGGACCATTTTTACCAAAAAAACAATAGTCGTGGACTAAAGTTGCAAGGTTTGAAAGTCGTGGATCAATTCTGATAGTGCCACTATAGTCGTGGGACCAAATGTGCAAAAAACTCTGTATTCTACTATACAATTCTGTACATCCGAAACAAAGATTTTTTTTTTAGAAGTTAACGGCAGAAACAGGAAACGACGTCATTTTGACCGGACGCACAATGCATTGTGTGCCCTGGTGCACATATACTTTGCCATAAGGATTACCATGGACTATACCGTGTAAGATTGATCATTGCCATACAGTTTATCTTTAGCATACTGAATGCTAATTTTAGTAAATTAAATTTTTATTTTTTGTTATTGAAGGTTCATTATTTAATATATTTTCTAAAAATGAATTTTTAATACATTAATAATGAACTTTTGATATATTAAAAATGAATATTTATTAATGATTCACATTGTAATATGGACCATGATTCATAATATAATTTGCCATAGTATGCAGTGTGGACACTTTTCTGTAACCCAAACAGTAGACGATTATATAAAAAAATAATAATAAAAAAATTGCCAATATTTATTTTTTTTTATAAAGCCAAATAACCCCTCAAACCAGCTCTTTAAACTTCAATTTTGTAATCCACTAGACAGACTTTACACCACTATAGTTTCATACTGTTTAACACTCTCCTTTAATTTCCCTTTTTTTTTTTTTTTTTTTTTTTTTTTTTTTTTTTTTTTTTTACTTTAGTTTATATTTTATTCATAATTTTGTGTAGCCCCAAAAATTCAAACATGTAATTATATTTGCAGAATTGAGTGATACATGCATCCTCAGCTCGATAAAAAAAAAATGGACCACCACTTCCAGCAGAATTGAATGCCTACAAGATACAGTTTCATCGTCACATGCAGCATCCTTGACACGTACAGAATGAAGCTGGCAACAAATATATGCACCCAAATACCCAACTAATTGTTTCTTAGAGAACTAACCTCTGTTACCTCCTATGTTGCTTTCCCCACATTACAACATTTTATTCATAATCAGACAATTCAACCGACTTGGTCGGGCATTAGTTTAATAATTATAAGGTTTCAAGTTTGACACCCTATAGAAATTAGTTATGGACAACTTATTAAGTTGGTTTACTCTCTTTTGATCCTTTACTAATTAGGGTCACATGACAAACTTCATCCAAAGCTCACCTTCACTAGTGACTGTGAACTTTCCCGTAAAGTAAAGCATCTTATTCATACAATTATTTATTAACCCTTTTTTTTAAAAAAAAAAAAACTAAAATCAATGATAAAAAAAAAAAAAAAAAAAAACAAATTTAAGATCAAGGTTGCAAAATATGCTAGGGATAGTCGGCCCGCCTAGCGCCTAGGCAAAACATACAAAAACAGTAAAGATTGTGCATGAGTATTGTCTTATACACACACACACACAAATATTACACATGTCTCTAGGATTGTAAAACAATAAATTAATTAATTAAAAATATAATAACACAGTTGATTTTGCAAGTTAATTCGCCGATTCAGTGCCGAGTGGATAGTTATGCTGTGCATCCGTATGCACCATCGGATGCCAAAACGACGTCGTTTTATTAAAAAACGCGCGTCTTCCCTTTAAAAAAAATTCAGGTTCGATTCCCAGCAATAACATTATATTGTTCATTCATTCTGGAATTTTAGTTCATAGATTATGGAATTATAGTTCATTGATTATGGAATTATAGTTCATCGATTATGGAATTGTAGTTCATCGATTCTGAAATTTTAGTTTATAGATTATGGAATTATAGTTCATTCATTCTAGAATTTTTAGTTCATAGATTAGATTCTGGAAATATAGTTCATCGATTATGGAATTATAGTTCATCGATTATGGAATTTTAGTTCATATGTTGTTGCTGGGAATCGAACCTGATTTTTTTTTTTTTAAGGAGAGATGCGCGTTTTATTAAAACGACGTCGTTTTTGCATCCGTATGCACCATGCATGGTGAATACGAATGCACAGCATAATTTGCCGTGCCGAGTAGGTCGAGTTGCCGGCTAGATGCTAAAACAATAGTTATGCTGTGCAACCGAATGTACCATGCGCATGGTGCATACGGTTCAAAACGACGTCGTTTTGATTAAAAACGCGCGTCCCACTTTAAAAAAAAAAAATCAGGTTCGACTCTCAGCAATAGCATTATTGTGGATATATAGTTATGAAATTGTGGATATATAGTTATGAAATTGTGGTTATATAGTTATGAATTTATGGATATTTAGTTCATTCATTGTGGATATTTAGTTCAATCATATATTGTGGATATTTAGTTCATTCATTGTGGATTTTTACTTCATTCATTCATTCATTGTGGATTTTTACTTCATTCATTCACTGTGGATATATAGTTATGAAATTGTGGATATATAGTTATGAAATTGTGGTTATATAGTTATGAATTTCTGAATATATAAAAATGCTATTGCCGGAAATCGAACCTGATTTCTTCTTTAAGTGGGACGCGCGTTTTTTTAACCAAAACGGCGTCGTTTTGCAACCGTATGCACCTTGCAAGGTGCATTCGGTTGCACAGCATAATTTGCGATGCTAAAAGGCCAGGGTTGAATGGTAGGCGCTATTTTTACAATACTGATCAAGACAGGACTGTTTGACAGTGATTTGAGGGGGCTGTGGGTGGTAGAAAATGGGCCTGATGGTGTGGGGATTTTCAGGACAGGCCTAGGAATAGTACTAGAGTGGGAGAGTAGTCCATGGGCTTAGGGAGGATAAAGGATGGACCCTAACTACTGCGTAAAGATGACCCAGGAGGGGGAGGCGGGGCAAATTATGCCCTGGACTCGTGTCCACAATGAATTGTGGACATGGGCCCAAAACGACGTCGTTTTTAGAAAAAAAAATGCGTCATTTAGTTATAAAAAAAAAAAAAATCGCGCACGTTTTGCCGTTAACGGCGTTAATTTTTTTTTGGATTATGAATGTACAGTTATGCCGTTATGAATGTACAGTTATGCAATTATGAAATTATGAACACAGAGCTCTAACATTATGAACTTACAATTATGAACATATAGTGATAAAATTATGACCATGGAGCTTTAAAATTGTGAATATAGAGCTTCGAAGATTATGAATGTACAGTTATGGAGTTATGAATGTACAGTTATAGAGTTATGAATCTACAGTTATGGAGTTATGAATCTACAGTTATGAGATTATGAATCTACAGTTATGGAATTATGAATGTACAGTTATTGATCGAATTATGAACAAAGAGCTCTGACATTATGAACTTACAATTATGAACATATAGTGATAAATTATGAACATAGAGCTCTAAAATTGTGAACATAGCTTCGAAAATTATGAATGTACAATTATGGAGTTATGAATGTACAGTTATGGAGTTATGAATGTACAGTTATGGAGTTATGAATGTATAGTTATAGAGTTATGAACGTACAGTTATGGAGTTATGAATGTACAGTTATTAACATATAATAATAAAATTATGAACATATACTCCTATAACGAAACGGTCTGAATTTTTTTTTTTTTTTTTTTTGAGATAAGGCACTACCCGTGTCCAGCATGCATGCTGGACACGGGTCCAACGCATGCTGGACACGGGTCCAACGCATAACAATTGGGGGAGGCGGTGAGTGGGCAAATTATGCTGCGGAATCGTGCAAGGTGGACACAGTTTCAAAACTAATCATATTTATGAATATATAGTTTAAAAATATAAATATGTAGTTCTATAATTATAAACATAGAGTTATGAACATATAGTTATGTAATTATGAATATAGTGATTCAATAATTGTGAATATGAAGTTCAAAAATTATGAATATATAGCTTTATAATTATGAACATATAGTTCAGTAATTATGAACATAGAATCGTGTCCACCTTGCAAGGTGGACACCGTTCCACAGCATAACGATTGGTAGCACTAGTACAAAAATGAATAAAGGTGATTGACTTTTGGCCACCGTTCTAAAAAGAAGCTAAGGATGGTGCATTTAAAAAATAAAAAAATGCATTTAAAAAATAAAAAAAAACTCATGACAGCTGTGAACAAGAAAAAATTGAACAGGATATATATTCAAATTTCAAAATTGCGCGCGTACAAGATCTCTATATGATTCTTCACTTGGTTTACTTGGCTTGAAAACTTTGGGCTGAAGGTCCTCCAAGATGCAGCTTGTTGACTTTGTTGCTTAATCTTAATCTTTTGTTGACTTTGTTGCTTAATCTTAATCTTCGTTGAAGGGTCTCTTGACTTTGTTGCTTAATCTTAATCTTCGTTGAAGTCTTTAGTTGGCTTGATCTTTAATCCACTTTAGCTTAGGTTGAATGATTGAAATATTTGATCTTCAATCCAGAGCTTGATTTAATCTTCAATCCAGGGCTTCTCTTCAATTCCACTAGTGTGATTTTTGGAATGAATGAAAAGCTCTATTTATAGGGGAGAATATGGAAGACTTCCACTAGCACCCAAACTCTTCAATATCTTACTATATAAAATAGTCACACACCTAGGAAACAACAATAGAGCCAAATTCCCGCTCGCGAAAAACGCTGACGTTTTAGGGTTGAAAAAAAATTCACGACTTTGGTATACCGAAAGTGGGATACGCCTTTCAAAGTATTGATGGTCATTATTTATTTACATATCTATAATCATAATAGAAATTGTATTTTCGAAACGCAATAATGACAGAGTTTCCTTTGCGCAGCATTGAGGTATTCCAATGCCTGGAAACACGAAATAATTAAGACAAAACTGTTAGTATTCCACTGTAATGCCAAATTAAATAGTCAAAGAAACCATTTGTATATTTACACCATATTATAAGCCTCTCTCATATTTTCCCAAAACACAATTCTAGCGGAATGAAGAAACTAACAACTTCTGCAGTCATAGGAAGAAAGAGGAAGCCACAATGTTCTCCAAATCCAGGTATTACAACCTTCCTAACTGCATAAAGCATCAGATTTAATTCTCATCATGTGCAAATATCTCAACATCTGTGTTAAGAAGAACAGTTTAGGTAAAACATAACGCAGAAAAATATGGCAACATAAATTTCATATTATCATATCAGTAATTTCATTCACAGAGAACTATCATAGATGCTTATAATAGGCAGAACACAATACGAAATCCATACATAAGTAAGATAGGTACTTATTCCCGGTTTGTCTTCCATATAAATCTTAGCGAGCATAACATGCAAAAATACAATATAGTTTGTATTATGTCATGAATCATTCTAAAAGACCCATAACTGGGGTGTTATGTCACTTAGCCTGTCTAACAGAGATAATAGAGATGTAAAAGTAAACCTCTGGGAACCCCAAGTTGTTCTAAAAAACCAATCGGAATCCAAGAAAGCTGTAAAAAGATAAGTGTTAGCCGCATAAACTGAGGTTGAAGTTTAGAGAACTCCGAGCTCAGAATTATACCCGTAGAAAGAAGAACGCCCCGACTTTGGAGGAAAATTTCCAAAACCTAATACTGAAAATCCATGATAGAGTCTCTTAGCATGTCTAACAGAGATAATAGAGATGTAAAAGTAAACCTCTAGGAACCCAAGATTTGAGTCACCGTAATCTGGATCGATGAAGTTTGTTCATTAACTACGTCGATTTGTTCCTTAAAACAAATATAGTTGGTCAGATCTAAATAATCTATAGAAAACCCCTAAAAACATACCTCCATTGAAAATTTTGTTCTAAAAAAACAATCGGAATCCAAGAAAGCTGTAAAAAGTTTTGATGGAGCCGCATGCACTGAGGTTGAAGTTCAGAGAACTCCAAGCTTAGAATTAGAAGGAAGATCCCCCAGACTTTGGAGGAAATTTCCACAGCGTAATACTCAAAATCCATGATAGAGCAAGACAACTGTACAAAGAACCAAGTAAGATGGAAAATGAGATTTCTGATTTTCGTCGTCCAGAATTAGGAGCTCAGGAGAAGAATATTCTAGCAGATTTGGGCGAGATTTGGAGCACTAACCTGATTTAAATATTAATACTCACTAACTACTATAATATATATAGTTTTTTAATGCTATGTTTTCGGCGAAACATGTGAGAATTCATTATATATATATATATATATATATATTGATTTATTTATTTATCTATTTATATACTGGGTTAATGAATTTTTATGTATTAGAAATTCAATTTATTTGTTAGTAATTAAATAAAATTGTTATTATGTTTTTTTATTATTTAAATATGACCATGTACGTATTTGAATTTAATAAAATATATACACTGATGCAGAGGATAAAGAAAATTGTTTGGAAGAGACGATTACTTGCCAATCTACTACAATTCGAAATTGTTTGTATGGTGTTTTTCAAGCAAATTATTGTACACCTATAAACATTTTAAACAATAGTAAGTGTATGGTGTTAATTTTTATTTTAGTACTTTGATTGATTAATTCCATATTTATAGTGAATAATATTTTTAGCGGATTTGAAGTATGATTATTTTATATATTTATTTTTTGGAAGATGGGAGTTTAGTCAAGTCATCAATAAAGAGTAATAATGAGATTGCATCATCAATTAAGATGCAATTGCAAGGTATTTTTGACAAAACAACTCATTCTCAAGACGCTCATGATACAGGTGATAAGTTTTAAGATTATGGAATAAAATTATGTTTACGTAGAGTTGTTAGGCAGATAATTATTTTGTATAGAGATTAACTATTCATGATTATGTATGTTGTTTTATATTTTGAATTTATAAACATGATTAGAATTAGTCTTAAAAAATGTTCTATTAATTACTTCGTACGTTTTTTTTTATGTAGTTAAGGAAAGACTCATTAAGAAATGGTCTTTATGTACCCCATATTTCATGTTGGCGCAACTATAAATTCTTCATATTTGTGGGATAATTGTATAGTTTTGCGATTGACAAAGAATCTTCGTCTCAATAGAATAGAAGTTGGTGTGGATCAGTCTGAAGTTGAGGAGTTTGCTAATTGGATTGCTTCTATCGGTGATGGAAAAATTGGTGGTCCAAGTGATGGCTATGCAGATGTTGATAGTCCGTATGATTTGTTACTACAGTGTGACAGTGATCCGATCAAGACGATTGTTGATTGTATATTTCCAGGGTTTCTGAACGGTAGTTGTAATCACAACTATATGCAAAGTCGTGCTGTACTAGCATCAACGCTAGATGTTGTCAACGCAATAAATGAATATATGAGTGAATTGCATACAGTTGAGTGTAAAACATACTTCAGTTGCGACACTGTATGTAAATCAGATTCAGTTAGCGGTATATTGGGAGATGTTCAGACCCCAGAGTTTCTCAACGGGTTGCATCTGGGATCCCCAACCATGCATTAACATTGAAAGTTGGATCACCTGTAATGTTGTTGAGAAATATAGATCACTCATTAGGCTTATGTAATGGTACAAGATTGTTTATTACAAGATTGTCCGAACATGTTATCGAGGCCAAAATTTTGACGGGTGACAATGCCGGTAGTTCGGTCTTGATACTTAGAATGTCTTTGACTCCATTAGATACAAGATTGCCTTTCAAATTTCAAAGAAGACAGTTCCCAATAATGTTGTCATATGCCATGACAATAAATAATCTATGGTCAGACATTATCGCATGTTGGGTTGCTATTGAAGAAACCAGTGTTTGTACACGGACAACTGTATGTGGCAGCGTCTAGAGTTAGCAATCCTAAAGGCCTGAAAATTTTAATTTGTGATGATCATAATAAGAATTGTACTTCAACAACAAATGTTTTTTACCATGAAGTTTTTAATAATTGTTAAATAAATTTATAATTTTCTATGTCTAAGTTTTTTTTTTTTTTTTTGTTTTTTTTGTTGGACTTGCAATTTCGTATTATGAACTATTTTGATGTTATATTTGTAGTTTATTATGGCAATGAACAATCGTATTATGCATTACAATTCAAAATTACAATGTAATTTTTATATCGTGCATCGCACGGGTACAATGCTAGTTAACCATATATTATTAATTAATATTTTAGGATAATATGAATATTTATCCACAATGAATCTTGCCATTATTGCATCCAGGTTTCTAACTTTATCACATATTCAAATTAATTAATTTAAATATATGAATATCTTATCATATATTCAAATTAAATAATTAATTTAAATATTTTCTTTTTGTATATGGAATATGGATCAATACATCTTTATAATCTACCAAGTGGCTTGTAGTCCACTGGTATCCGATTGGCCCCTTATGTGGGATGTCTTAGGTTCGAGCCTTGGTGACAGCGTAGATAGTATATATATATGGGTGTCCCCTTTCCTTTGTAATAAAAAAATACATCTTTATAATCTGAGTCCACCCGTCTTCCATTTATATTTAATTCAGGCAATTGGGCCAATTTAATCAATCCAAATAAATCAGGAACTAGTCCAATTATATTCAACCGAAGCCCACAACATGTCAACATATGAATTAGCCCATTTGTCGACTTCAAAATTTTCGTGTCTACAACAGTAAAATTATAAATATTTGGACAAGAATAAGTATTGTTTCTAAGTAAAACAATCACAATTTAAAAAAAAAAATGCGGATAGTTTCCGCAACGGTTCCACTTAAAACGGTCGTGGAAATTATAGAATTTAAAAAATAAAATACACTTTCCGCGACCATTCTACTTACAACTGTCACGACAAATAATTAAATATATGTAATATAATTTTCAAATCATATTTACTCATTATTAAAGTCATATTTTTTTTGAATGCTACTTACTCTATTACATTGTAATATCTGATCAAACATATTTTCTCAACCTAATGAAGCACACAAAGTCAACAACAACACTAAAGCTCGATCTCATGACCTCTCATATGGGAAAGGTCACTACATGTCATCTTGTCTCATGACCTCCTACATAAAAAAGGTCATTAAATACCATCTGAGCATAAAGTGCTTGGCTATTATTAAAGCCATATTTAATAATGACCAATTCTTCAGTTCTCACGCCCAACTGTCCTCTATTCCTCTCCACGCCATTATTCTTCACGCAATTTTTCTTCCTCCAAGTACCCCACGCGATCTCTTCCTCTCATCTCGTCTCCATCTCTTCCAACCGCACACCACCCTGCGCCACTGCCGCATCAAAATTGCGTGGGGTTCTTGGAACATATATGAGAGATATGTTTTCTGAAGACATTGAAATAATTTTGTTAAGGATGGATATTAAAATATTTGAATATATTTGGGATAATATTGATATTATCTAATTTATTTAATTAGATAATATTAAAAAAAAATTGAACTTATCAAAATCGTATTATCTGGAGATTTTGGGTGATTTTTGAGGAGTTTTTATATGCCCGATTAGAAAAGAAAAAAAAATGAGAAGAAATAAAAAATAAAAAATAAAAACAAAAAAATAGAAAAAGGAAATTAAGTAAAAAGTAGTCTTTTTAGATACTTATCATCTAAAAAAAAGAGATGAGACTCACATTTATAACAAAATTCCCATTTTTGCAGGAAGCACTCCCCCCTCTCTCCTTTCCCCTCTCTTTTTCACCTTGCTATTTTTCCCTTAAAACTTGTGTACAAACCCTTTATTGGGGTTGCTCTTATGCTAACTATAAATAGCAACTCTCATTCATCCTAGGAAAAATTAGGTGAACATCCTAGAAAATCATAGAAACATCATAAAGCTTTGAAGCTTAATTATTTAGAGATGATCATGAAAATAAAAGCCCCTCTATGAAGACCATACCAAGCATATTACAAACATATAAGGTGTTCTTTTTTGAAGATCAAACCACTCGAGTTTTGGAGGCCCTTCAATGGAATATTCAAGGCATCCAAGTGAAGAAAAGTAGAATTACACAAAGATCTTGTACCTGCACCGCATTGATACTACTTGTAATCAGAATTTTGAATTTTAAAATGTAATTCGGTTTTCTTTGTTCACAAATTGGCACGCCCAGTACAACTCTCTTTGGTATAAATAGACACCCCCTATACATGGGGTGAGATGGGACAATTTTCACTATTCACAAACAATATTCATCAATACAAAATACCGATATTCTCTCCATATATTTTCTCTATATTTTTTCTATATACAAAATTCCTAACGATAGTGTTGGCCCGCCGTTGACGGTACAAATGTCATAAAATCAACACATAAATTATATTCAAAATTGATGCACTTATCTAAACAAAAAGCAACTGCATTTGCATTCAAGACCACAATGACTTGAGTATCCAGTTCATTTTATCCCCTATTTTTGTTTTATTTTACTACAATTCAACATAAGAATTTATTTATTACAGATAGAAGGACAAGAAATCACCTTAAAGCAACTCCAGGAGGTAGGTTTTTTGCACATTTTTTTAAAAGTCCAACTAGGAGTGAGAATAGGAGGAAATGAGGAAAAATGAAAAAAAAAAAAAAAAAAACTATCAGAAAAAAAGGGATTATTCACGCGTCTAGAGAGCGTGTGCAGTAGGCACGCTTGGTGCCCGCCGAACGTGCACTAGGGGACAATATATATATATATGTGTATATTTATTTCTTTCTCATTATGGAGCCCACAAAAAAACTTTAATCAGTACAAATTTAAAAAAAAAAAAAAATCTCTTTCTTCTCTTCTCTCTCCTCCAACTGTGAAAAAAACAAGGTTAAAATTTCAGTGATGAGTTTATTTGCACAGCAAAGAAGATTGAGTCTCTTGGTCTGAGTTAAATGGCTTTAGAAATAAAAATTACAAGTTTATCCTTATAACAAATCAGATGATGAGTTCACTACAGGATGCAAAATAGAAGACTAAAAGAGATGTAGGACTAAATGTGATAATTTTGAAAGATTAAGACTAAATGTAATGTTTGCACTATAACTGAGGACTAAAAATTAAATTAGCTCATGTGAAAATTACAAGTTTAGCCTTGTAGTTAAGGGTGAGTTTACAAAAGGCAAACCCAAAACTAAAAATAAAATATATAGGATGGACTAAATGTGACAATTTTAAAACATTAAACTAAATTTGGAATGATGATACAATATTCAATAAGGAAAAATAAAATTCACTCAACACATGATGAATAGTATACTCAATTCCTGTGCTATTACCCTATTCCCTACCACTTTTTAGTTTTCTGTTGGTGTTAGTATATGATTCAATTCACAAAAATAATTAAATAATTCTTCCAAACGACTGAACCCCAACGCTAAGGGCCCCCACATCCCGACCTGACAGAGCATTTGGGAGGATGTAAATCATGGTAACTCAACTGAACATGAACCACAGAGGCTAGACCGGTGCTCACTGCGCACAAGGAACCCCCCTCACTTTGAGACAAAAAATAATTAAATAATTGAAATAAAGTTAGGAGCTGATTAGCTAAAGGCGAGCCGTTATATAACACCAATTACTATTGTGTGGATCATATTATCAAATAATATACATTTGATACGCAAATAATGTACTTTTAGTATATTAAAAATAGTCATTATATTCAGAAAAAGTGAATTATTTGGGTACTAAAAACGAGATATATTATTTTCTATAATGTGCATTCAGTACACAAATAATGTACTTTTAATATATTAAAAATTTATTTTTTATTATGGTCCACATAACACTGTGTAGATAATAATTTGCCCTCATTCAGGGGTGGAGGGAAAGGGTGGGGGCAGGGGCCCTAAGTGTGGAAATCTTCTCACATATTCAATGTTTATTGGTAGATTTGTGGGTCCACAACAATTAGAAAAGAAAAAAATCATTGAAAATACGAATGACTTTTAAAGATTGAGAAAAATAATGGATGTTGGAGTGAAATGTTTTGATTCACAAAAAGCTTGTGCAAAAGTCCGACAATTAGATTTGCTTTTAGAATTTATGTCAAAGATTCGACACTTTTCTTGTAGTGTGAGCTGTCAGGGGTAGGGATGTCAATTGTACCCGCACCCGATGGGGACGGGGATGGGGATAGAAATAGGGGATCGGAGATGGGGATGGGGATGGGGGCAATTTTGAATTTCCCGCCGGGGACGGGGACGGGGATGGGGAGTACTCTCCCCGCCCCGCCCCGCCCCCGATGTATGTATGTATGTATGGGGAGTACACACACATATGTATTACTTTGTATACAATATATATAATTTTAGAAGCATTCTTGTCATTGTTTGTCATGCTTATGAAATGCATA